ACAATATCTCCTCCGATCGAACGGACAAGCAACAGTACAATATCTCCTCCGATCGAACGGACAAAAACAGTACAATATCTCCTCCGATCGAACGGACGAACAACAGTACAATATCTCCTCCGATCGAACGGAGGAACGACATTACAATATCTCCTCCGATCGAACGGACGAGCAACAGTACAATATCTTCTCCGATCGAACAGACGAGCAACACTACAATATCTTCTCCGATCGAACGGACGAACAACAGTACAATATCTTCTCCGATCGAACAGACAAGCAACACTACAATATCTTCTCCCATCGAACGGATGAACAACAGTACAATATCTCCTCCGATCGAACAGACGAGCAACACTACAATATCTTCTCCCATCGAACGGACGAACAACAGTACAATATCTTCTCCGATCGAACAGACGAGCAACACTACAATATCTTCTCCCATCGAACGGACGAACAACAGTACAATATCTCCTCCGATCGAACGGACGAACGACAGTACAATATCTTCTCCGATCGAACGGACGAGCAACAGTACAATATCTTCTCCGATCGAACGGACAAGCAACACTACACTATCTCCTCTGCTATCAACCAAGAAGTGCTAAAGCATATATGTATTGAAATAACAACAGGTATACATATACCATATGTTTAAATAGAAACATGCTCGTTAAATAGGAAACCTTATATCATACATTTCACGTAATGGGCAAAACATATACTACCGGGTAATTCCTAACCTTCATAAAACATTGTTAAGGAAAAAACGACGAGAATTTATTTCACATTAGTACAATTCGGATAAAAGCGATAGCAAAGGCTTTTTAAACGGGGTAGGTGACCTTAATACCCGTCACACTCCACGGATTAACGGGGTCACACCGAGAGATTTAGAACATCACATTATATATTTGTTTATTATCCGAAAATAGTACACAACTATCACGATTCATTGTCAAACAGCTAATATACCTGAAAAGATACACGAAATAAAAAATACATTAAAACACACAACAACAGTGAAAAGTGTTATCAGCTTAGCTTGAAGGTTTTGTGTAAAATTTTGTGAGAGAAAATAATTTTATCCTTAAAATTACGTGTCCGTAGTTTTGATATCTGCATTCAGAGGGTGGTATTAAAATACAAACGTTGATTAGGATACCTTTAAGTTTTATACAGAACATTTTACATGACATAACAGGAAAGAAACAATGAAGCTAAAAATTTAATCAGATCAGCACATCCCAATGGGAGTATTGCTTTGGTGAATTATGTATTTATGAGCATGCGCAGACATCCATCTAACGAAATCAACATCGCTAGAGCCCTTCACATGCTTTTTAGATATCATAGTGAGTTAACAAATGTATAAGATGCTATAATAATGTTTCAGTAAGAAATATGGATACAAACTAACAATATGGACATTTTAAGGATCCCTGTCCCACTGCACTGTTATATTTACTCTATACAGTAACCTCCCCCTAACTTCCGCTTGGATAACTGTAGCACTGAGTTGGGCCAAGACACTTCCGTTGATTAGGTAGCTCAGTCGGTTAGAAGGATAGTATAGCAATTTGAAATCAAGTGTTCGAAGCTGGGTAAAGCCCCGCTGATTTTTTACATTAGTAACAATCTTGTAGATTGTATTTGGTTTATCTCCTTAGGCCAAGAAATAGTCTAAGAACCAGTCTAAACCGGATGTTGTTTACAAGAAAATGACTGAACTGTGATGGATTTCTACGATACAATTTTTGGACATATTCTTCATACATCAGTAACATGTATTTTTGTTTGATTACACGATTGCATCGTGGTTCGCGGAAACAGCTTAGTGAATACATTTGAATGGTGAATACATTTGAATGATAAATAAGTGTATGCCATCATTCATTTGGTAGATTGTGGATTCGAATTTGATATGAACTTAACCGAATTGAGAAATTATGAACCACTGCATGACCATATATAGCTCTACCACTGCATATCATAATTGTGTGCATTGATTCAAAATGGAAGAGTAATTGCCTGTTACCTTAGCAACGCGTCCAACGGCGAATTATCTTTGAATTACACATGTTTATAAAAGGGAAGATTAGCTAGAATCTAAGATGAGTAAGCGGCATATTGTAGAATTTAAGCAAATGATATCTTGTTGATTATGTGTCAGCAGACGACATGTTGCTGAACCTAAGCCGGTGCAATCTACCGGACTATACAGTACACAGTCCGGATAATATTTTTTTAATGCACACTGACTACCTACAGGGGGCAGGTTTAATTGGTCTTCCTGACGATACCTTAAGATACCGTCCAATTGATACTGCAAGTAATAAGTGTTCATCCCAGATGAACTACGCTTATTAATATTTGATGAAGATGAGCAATACCTTAAGTTACCAAATGATGCTGTCGTAATCCATACCACGGACTAGACATGTGTACTATGACTAAGAGTGAAGGGTGTACAACTTGAACTGGAATGTTATTACATTACTTCAAGCGTCGAGGCGATCAAGACAGTTGTACAGTTCCCGTTTAAGTTAATAAAACCTAAATAAATGTCAAGACTTGTCATGATCACGGTCTCGTTGTGTTCTGTCCTATCGTAGAGTGTGGTTGACCTCATAAAATGTCCAGTAAGATACATGTATAAATAGTAACGCTGTAACCACATGATTTACAATATGAGATTGGTCTACGGGCCTGTTCGTTTATGCAGAAATACCGGCTGGGCCTTTTTTAAACGTAACACTTTCGAGTATAAATTCTAGTTGACCTGCAAATGTTTATGCAGGCCTTGCAAGGCTTTGTCAAGGCTAGCCTGCTATCAGCATCAGATGGTCTGTTTGGATCGCGATAAACGAAAGCGACTGTATCAAACGGCACGACTGTGGGAGGCGATCCGGGTCCTCTGATTAGCGGATTACATTGGACCTGTTGAACCAATGGTAACAGTTGGGATAATTATTGCCACTGTATTCCTTCTCTTTGGAATAACTACCGTTTCCTAGTTTTCTACGGTTAAAAAGATATTGAATATGGTAAAATATTCATCTACTCTCATTGAAAACCTTGTCATCCTTTCCATGTTTGAATGCCTTGTTGATCAGTTATTCGGTATTTTACATTGTCATCATTACAAAGAAATGGCACGGCATTATCAACACTACACGGACACGTCAAATTCGGGACTGAATATCGAATGAATATAAATGATTCAGAGGGCGTGACTGAGCGGTATGTACGGCACGTCGGATCGTGAGGGGAGGGATCACGCCGTCTTGAGAAAAATATCTCCATACCACATACAAACGTCATTAGACAAATTCTTCAAGTAGGTTGTCAGGTTTTCCGCACCGATCCTCATTGAATACATCAGTTATCTTTCATCTCTTCTGACGAGGGTTTAACTTACCTACAGGAGAGCTTTCGCTTGATTTAACTGAGTTTTCATATTTAAGGAGGTTTACGCTGATAGTGCTGGTATTTAACATATACATACAATAGCTAAAACGAAATATCTTTAAAAGTCAAATAAGTCAAATACATGTTCGCGGCTGACCGAAAGCTGAAAACTGATGCTATGCCGATTCAAATTGATTTAATGACATATTACCGATACGAGATCAATGGTCCTGCGCTATTTACCAAGCTCAAAATATTCCTTGTGATTTCAAACATCCAACTGACCGTACGTCAGACCACGGAATTAGATTAGAGGTTATCTAAGTCCGTGGTCAGACGATGTGACGGAGGCAAATATCTATCTCCAGTATGTCATCCTCAGAGAGTCTACATGATTAACCCTTATATAAATAAAATGTCCGTATATAGCAGAAGGCTCAAGGTTTCAAAATATTCTTATCTACAAGACATTTAAGGCTCCATGTCCCACTGTATTTTTCCTAATACAGTAACCTCCCCTTAACTTCCGTATAGCTGTAATTGTAGCACAGTTTATGTTATCATACAATATGTTCTTCCGCTAACCAGGTAGCTCAATCGGTTATAGCAATGGTATAACAATCTGAATGCTAGGGTTCGCTGAATTTGTACACCCAGAATATTGTTGTTGAGTAAAGTTTGTTTATTTCGCAAGGTAATGGTTTTCTTTTTAGAAATGATTTATATAAAAGTTACAGTCATGCCGGACAGAACAGTTTCCAATACATGTAATGAGTTGCAGTAATTTGGCAGAGTTACAGGGAACTTAACAACGCTTGTATGTGTACAATTCCAAATGATGAATTCATTGACTAATGTACGGACGTACGGCCAGTGTACGGACGAACAGACCACTACATTTGTATAAAGACGAAAGGGTACCAGAGATTTAGTTAACTCTCCCATTCTTAACTTTTAAATGGTAGTCAAAACAGGGTCTCTTTTAAAAAATTGCGCACGCGGTTTGGTGTGCACTTTTATCTCCGTCCAATATAAAAAAAAATAAAAGGGGAAAAAGGATGTACGTGTAGTTATTTCGAACGAAGGTTTTGCCTGACCAGTGTCAAATTGGGAGATTTTCGACAGATACGCCCTTAGGGAACGTTTTGTATACAAACAACAGTACGCCGACAGATATATGTCTGTTGAGTTCTGTCGAGGTACAGATTACATTACTCTCGGGGTGTGTTGTAACATGTTATTGTACAGGAAAACCACCGATGTCGCTAACACGATGTTGAGGAAATCTCGCAGAAAATAAGCGAATATCAAGGTTCCTAGCTCTAGAGTTTCAATTTAGCTATGATTTTATACGGAAAGTAATAGCCCAAAACAAAACAGATTTTTTTCCTTTTTTTTTTCTCTCTCAATAATTTCGGAAAATACTTCTTTCTTCTATAGAACTACAGACCAGGGTGATAATTGACAACGTCTATAGAACTACAGACCAGGGTGATAATTGACAAACGTCCTCTTCTACAGTTTTGTTTCTCAACACAGCTTGTTAATTCCGCAGACCTGTGAAATATAGTTAACAGACAACCTACCTGGTGAGGATACGCTAGATGCCACGTCACAATAATTCTCGTCCCTGCTTTTAAAGTAGTGAGAGGGCCCAAACCTACAACAAAGTGAAATACAGTTAATACCCAACAACAAACAGAAAAAACCCGGAAATTAACATCAAAACGAAAACGTAAAAAGGAAATGAGGGAAAGATTCCCTATGGCGTCCCCGTAAAATCCAGAAGAGAATATCGGTTGCCATTGATCGAAGACGATTGTTAACCACGACAGAAAAAGAAATCCATTGGTAGGGAAATAAGGTTTGATGGCAAGCAAGCGCACTATGTCTTCTACGTAGTTTGGAGTTATCACTGTAGACAACCCTGAGATCATGCAACGGAATATTGGTTCCACTGAAAAGTTTACTCCCATCAGAGACGTATGATATCGTCGAGTTTGGTAGTGAGTTGGCAGGAGTTATGTGGAGGTTGACGTTAAATGAGTCTGAAGTGTCTTTAATTTAAAGTTAATGATAGATATGTATGTGGTAAGATAGAAGGAAAATGCACATTAGCAATGTATTGTACCGGTATCTTTTGACTAGAGCAGAGGGTTTACGAAAACCAAACTGTATAGCGGTGTCGTATGACAAGGCCAGAGAGATTACGGATGTTTTTCTTTTTACGATACCTTTAATTTTTGTTGTATTATTAGAAACGAATAACTAATTCATTTGTCACATCGTGTCTGTATTCAAGAATATTTGTCTACGTGTTTATGCACATTCTGACTAATTAGCAATTATAATTAGGCAGTTTGTATGATCGATGTTAGATACTTCATTACATTTTATTAAACAAAATCGTATTACTAAGTAAAGTTGTAATGTTAGATGGCGTGCTTTGGTTATCAGTCAAACGTAAAAGGTTTACATACAAACTAAATAAACGGGCACCCAGTATATCAAAACAAATCGCCATGGCCCTAAACAAACCAACAAAACAGTATATCATATAAAAATACACACATTGCAAATGACATTAGTACTTGCCCGAGGGGACGGGCATTATCTACAATATTGCCTTCAATTTATAGAACGTCAGCTACTAATAGCTTACCGACACGAAGTTTGATTTATTGATCGTGAATATTCCAGATCGTCAAATTACGTCGCGGTGTGTAGAGCATACTGGGAGTTTATAGTATTTTTCTCAATAGATTTCAGATTGAGCTCAGGAATATACAACCCCTGTTGAGCTGAAGTATTTATTTGACGATGAACACGACGACGTTTGGGTAACTTTGGATACTCGTGACTATAATCTATGTACATTTTGTGCTTGCGTCAGAATGCGTACAAATCAGGACTATATTGACGAATAATATAATTCAACACTGAATTTCATTGAAACATTTTTGTTTTGTTTTAGACTGTTAAATATTAATACATTTCGCTTAAGTCAAAATTAAATTTATCTCAACAATAAACAACTTGTCTCCTATTTATATTGTTGTGACTTAAGTAATAACAATGAACATGCTGTCAGTGATAGCATACTTGGTAATGTTTGAATCTCAATTGGCGAGTAATGGGCTTAAGCTGAATTCAAAATAAATGTTCAGTCTTCGTATTTCTCATTCGTTCAAGTCGAGATTTTTGTCAATATAAATAATGCAATACACAACCAAAACATTTTATTTGTGTTACAGCAGAAGCTATAAATCAGTAGAAATGAATTGCTGTTATGCTTTTACTGATATCGTCGAGAAGTAGAAACACTTTGTTTTGTTTGTCCCTGTTTGGTTATATCAGTTTTATCATGTTTGTTCGGTCACAGTAAACATGCCGCCATGCTTATATTTGTAGTTCTAATGGCAGTACGGTGGTTTGTGTCGATAACGTTCGGTTACCATAGCAACGTGAAACCAGAGACGTTGGTGAAACCAATCTGAATTTGAAACCAAATCACATTGTTCATAGTTGCTACACAAACATAACGAGGACACACCAGGTAAAATGTACATCCGGTATTTGTTTTACGGACAATCTCGTCACGATCTACACATATATACCCTACATTCGAAAGGCGCTGTTATCCATACAGCCGATGTGTTCAGGTTGTTTCAAAGAAAGCACAACCCGGAATAATTTGTTGTCAAAATATCGTGTAGAATGAAGTGTGTGAAATATGCATGGTTACTAAAGACAGTTACTCGAAATAAAAACTCAATATGAGTCATCGATTTTCCGTCTTAGTAAATACCAATAGTAATTTGAAATGAACAAAAATAATGATATATCGCGTCAGCTAATTGCAAAGGCCAAGGTTCAAAGGTCGGGCTCTTCTTTGGGTCAAGTTAAAAATAGGTGTCATGACTCTTTTCTCACGACCTATTGATATCCGACCACGGATTTAGATAATCTAATTCCGTAGTAACTAACATGGAACAGACGTCCACCAGGTCACTTTCACACGACTGAGGTCTTAGTAAAACAATGCCAGCCAGGTGGACAAAGGAGATGGCTGGCAGACAACATCATATAATGATGTACATAACAAACCGTGTCACATATCGCTATCCATTGATGTTCTGGTGAAAAGAATCACCCTGCATTATTTGATCGTAAGGCGACCGCTAATATCGGCCCCCTGCAGATCTTGTTTCTAAATATTCGGTTTAGAGATTTAAACTTAAAAAAAATAAAAAAAATAATATCAGTCCTTTTAACATATATTATTTTCTTTTTTAATTCTTGTTCTACGTTAAGTATCCTTTCTATTGGTTACTTGACATCACGTATTGCTTTTGCGTTAAACCACAAACAAACCAGGAAGTTTTAAGATGATTTTGTATATATCCGTAGTGGAACCTCGTTGATACGAATTTCTTTAATCCAGAATTTAGAAGGCAAAATTCCGTGTATCATCACGTCAAGAATCCGAATATTTTTTCGGAGAATAAAACGTAACACTTACATTAACAATATTTAGGACAATGAACATTACTGTAGTGGAATGACAGCTTTAGAGGGTTTCCGAATGGTCAAAACCTTTACTTGATATCGATGATAAAGCATGCTGCCTTAATCCAAGAACAATATCTCTCACGCGGCAAACTTTTCGCTCCAGATTGTCTGTTATTTTAAGGTTCATTTAGTTGCGCTACATGCAGCATAACATAGGTTCCTGTTTCCTTTGACGGCCGTTTTGTTACACTGTTCAGCACAATAACATTGTCAAGTATTAAAGTGTAACAAAAATTGGCAGCAAAGCAAGCTAAATAAATAACGTCATGTAAACACTATACATTGTACGTGTCAAAACATCAAAGCAATGCGAATGAAGCATTCAATATACTCTGTGAGATACTAAGGCCAAACTTACGATTTTTGTTAGATTATAAGACAGTAATGTGAACAGTGGGTGGGACTTATAGTTTTAAACTTTTCTTTCACTTGATGATTTCTTTTCCAACTTCATTTTTTTTTGAAAACATTGTCTTTCCCACGAAAATGGCTTGAAATAATTTCTCTTGATTTGCTTTCATCTTATTTTCACTAAACAAAAGATATAACTCAATTGCAGTCTGATTCTGAAACTGTTTTCAGTATAGCGTGATCCTCACGTTTATATCCAATAGTAAGTAACATTCATTAAATCGTTGAAAACCAGGGCTCGAAGTATTGATCCCTGGGGTACCCCTTTCAGAGTTCCAGACCGACTTTAAATCATCGAGTATGATTCAGAGAACGGAAACCATGTAATAATATTAGAAAAAAATGGTAAGAAGTGAAAGTATCTGTACGAAATGTGGTAACGATAAAAGGAATGAAAAAAAAGAGAGAAAATGACAATGAAATAACGAAAACATGATGGTTAAACGTGTAAATAAACGATGCTGAAAGGCGAATCAGTTGTGATTGAAATAGAGTATCAAGACGACACAAGGCCGGAAACCTACACAAACAAGCGTATTGCTAAGGGAGAATCAAACCAATCTATAAAAATGAATTGTATTCACATGCAAGTGAAAAGAGGGATAAATAATTGTGCAATTTACCTAATACACATAACTCATCTGACAGTGGCTAGTACCAGTTAAACCAACAAAGAAAAAAATTCAGATAGAAAAATGATACTTCACGCACAACTACACAGTCAATTGTAGACAGAATAAGCTACATGTATCTATCCTTTGTATCACGAAGCTTTTTACTCTTAAGAAAAAATTATGAACATACAATCATATTTCCTTTCCAATAATTAGAGATTGATTTTCTGGAATCCATGCATCCGCCGTTTCAATTTAAAAGAAAAGATTTCTTAGCATAAGTTCGTAAATATCTCACTTTTAATGAAGTACAGCGCTAAAAATCAATAAATTTTGAGAAATCAGAACGTTCTTAAAAGTTCCGAAGTTTTGTTATTCCGGGGTCTGACGTTACATTTAGTCAAAACACGGATTTAACAATATACATGTGCTCTATTAGGGGCGAAGCACATACAAGATCAAATGAAACTATTTGTTTCAATAATGTAAATAAAGAGTGACTTCATTACAGTGTACTGATACGACTTTAATCACCCAATATGTACATCAGGTCACGTGAAACTCCAGCCAGATGTATCTGATTGGGTTAAAATGAAATGTTTGAAGGTGTGAAACCACGTACATTAAATTCATATCATATAAAAACATCAATGACTAAGAGTGACGGCAAACTCCTATTTTTAGGGTAAATCATGTCTTTATAATGTACCAAGAGGCTATGTGTAGGCACTTCATAGGACTATCCTAGGAATGGAAAGGGCGAAAAGAAATCAACCGTGGATAACCGAGAGATGGATTACTTGTGTTCACCCAACCAGCTATCTCCGTGTAATACCCCGGTGTGCTCTATATGAAGTTACCTGATATTTAGAATTTTTGGGTGTACGGCAGGGCGAACACGAATATATACACATAATGTTATTCTGTCTGATTGAAATATAAAGGTTATACACAAAGACACACCACACAAACAATGCATGCGTAGCTTGAAAAGATGAGAAGCAAACTTGTATTTGCTGATTTTGTACCTACATCATGTCTTCATTAAAAAACAGCATCCGAC